TTTTTAAAAATATTTCCACCCTATTTTCACCCCTTCAGACAGTTTAATGAACTAGGACGGTTCTTTTCTGTTACTAATTCAGTCAATATGCGTATCATATTGAAAAATGGTAGGTGTACAGAGTCGGTAAATAAAAAAATAATTCGATATTTTTTTCTCAGTGTACTTTATGGATGTGTATAACTTCACACCCGTGACGTTAGTTGAACATTTAATATTTTTGTAGGTGGTCTACTCGAAGTACTAAATATTTAGCAAATAACAATTTCATTGTCTTACATTTTTAGTAAAATCTCCAATACCTATGAATGTAATACTGATTAAACCGAATTCTAAATATGTTCAAATATAAGCAGAATCCATTATTATCTACAGTATGTTTCTTTTGAGGTGGAATTCCCCCATTCTTGGCAAGGACAAAGAAATCCATAAGCCCATATTTTGGAGCATTTAGTTCCAGTGAAGAAATTTATATATTCTTCACCTCACGGAAATTGTAAATGATTACTTGTAAAAACTAGTTAGAATCAGATATCACCCCATATGCCGAATTCTCAAATTTATTTTTTTTTAAGAACAAGCACTGCATGAGGATCCTTGAGTCGCTGTAAAAGCGGTGCCACATAAAAGCAGTTCTCCAGATGAAAGAGTTCTTGAACAGTGAAGTTAGAGGCGTACAAAACGATGAGCTACCACAGTCCGTCGCGTAGTTTTGATATGTACCGCTCTTGGGGTAATCAAATGTGCCAATTCACTTGAATACCTCCCGTGAAAGTATCTATAGCAGAGGGACAAATCTCCAACCTTTCTTCGATGTTCCAGACAATCAAGGTTGCAACTTTCCCACGGAAGGATGGCCTGTTTTATAAACTTTTTCACTCAAAGTTAATCATCTGCACACATTGTAGTTTCTTTGTCTGAGAAGTTCATTAAGTATGGCAAGTCATTGATATACATTACAAACAGGAGCGGTTCCAATATTGGTCCTTGTGGCACTTCATATATTATCCAGATCAACAATTTGGTGTCTTTCAGTAAGGTTGAATTTCGGATAGATACCTCTCAGTTTGTAGAAATCTAATTTATTCAATAAAATTGAATGGTTAACAGAAAGAAAGCGATAATTTTCAAGTACTTAATATTTTCAAGTAACATCTGATATTCGAATATGGAATCAAGTGGTGTTTTGTTATCTTGAACAAGACAGTAAACAATCACAAGAGGACTAAACAGTAAGTACATACAATCAATAATAACAAATTATGGATCTTTTGAAACTTTATAGATATACAGAGTGTTTCAAATTCGATCCTCTCCATTGGGATCACGGAAACTATGAGAGATTCGAAGATGATTAAATTAGGGCAAAGTTGCGCATTTACTTGGATTACAATATGCCGTTGAGAAAGTTCTGAAATAAAAACAGAAATTTCGGAAAATGGTTTTAATTTTTTTCTGGCTTTATTTTTCGAAGGATTCAAAAATAAATTGCACTTCCACATTGCCACTTTTTCCCTGGGCGCTATATTGGATTCTTTCTGTTTTAAATAGAACCAGATTTTACCTTTTCAATGATGTTAAAAAAAGTTGATGATGGTGGCCGTAAGACGAAACGTCGGATAGCAAATCTAAAAACACCATTATGTAACAGGGAAAAAGTGGCAATGTGGAAGTGAATTCATTTTTGAATCCTTCGAAAAATAAATCTAGAAAAAAATAAAAACCGTTTTCCGAAATTTCTGTTTTTTTCCGGATATACGCGGAATTTCATAATTTTCTCAACGGCATATTGTTAGTCAGGTAGATGCACAACTTTGCTCCAATTCTACCATCTTCGTGACTCTCATAGTTTCCGAGATACCAATGGTGAGGATCGAATTTGAAACACCCTGTATGTATGAATGGATGGCTCTCATTATCTCAGAAACTGTTTGGGATATCAGTACGAAATTTGAAACGGAGCATTTACACATGGCAGATTGAAAAAATACCAACTTTTTCATTTCAAATAGACCGACTATTACATTATAATAATGATAATCGTCTCTCATTTACACATGGCAGATTGAAAAAATACCAACTTTTTCATTTCAAATAGACCGACTATTACATTATAATAATGATAATCGTCTCCATATACAAAAAAAAGAACAAAAAATACTGATAACTATCGTAGATATTTTTGAAAATAAAGGGCGACTTCACTCTCAACATGTACATACATACAGTTTTGCAGTTCAGTTTATATTTTCTCCTCTCAAAGTAGTCCCCCTCAGATATAATAACCAAGTAGACCTTGAATACCAACAATTTGTACATGCTATTCACGAATATCAATATTTTAAAAGAAACTTATTTTCAAAATAAGACATTTACAATTCGAATCGAATTTTATTGAAATCGTGAAGATTACGTTACTTAAAATTAATGCATCCATCCACGTCAAGTAAATGGGATGACTTGGGTGCCGGCTCTGCAGTCTCATGTCAAGGCACGATAAGTTTTACGATGAAATCTTATTGTATAAATATGAGTTGTCATTTACGTACTCTGTTTCTTTATTGGAACATTATGTCTTTAATGATTGAACAATATATGTT